AGTTGACCAAAGTGGCCAAAAACATAATGTACACTCACCTGATCCTGGGCCTTGCCTTATGTGGGGAGGATTGGTCCGCAACTGGAGTAGTGTGCCACTTTCTCCGGTCGAAAGTGCAGTTGGAAGGTAGTGTGGCCCGAGTGCCGCATGTTATATATGAATACTCCGCCCGCGCTGCTACACGGCCAGCGCACACCTATCCATAGCTGGCATGGTTTTACACCAGCGAACCCATTCATCTCGTCCGTAGAAACGACCGTTCTTGGAGGTGAGTTTAAAGGCACAGTTCGCGACCGCAAATTGCGGGAAACGGAACTCAAATAGGCACAAAAAAGTGCTAAGTATCTGATTAGCGGAGAAAAGCAGCAGAAAAAGCAGTCCGAAATGTTATAGAGAAAGATAACATAGTGGCTACTAGCTAGTAGCTAGCAGCCGGTGAGGGTCGGCATGGGCCTAAGGGGTGTCCATGGGCCTAATTAGTCAGCTTCTAGCGGAGTTCTTGCCGTTTTTCACATTTTGAAAGTAGCGCAGCCTCAAAAATCGCCTTCCGGGTCGTCCGACACATTTGAGAGGTCATAGCCTTATTTTTTCGCGGAATGTGCCTTTAAGCTTGTCTTCAAAGTCTCAAGGCAGGTAATTCGCTTCCAGAATTTTCTGCCGATTTCGGCGGTAGTACTGTTCTTCTATTTCTTCGTTCAAGACAACCTGCAATCAATGAAGTTCAGAAGCTTTTCATTTGGCTGATGCCGTATGGGCGCGCTCATTCTTGGCTGCGAGTTCATTTATGAAGTGCCTAAATCACCAAACCCGCTGAAAACTTGTATACAGGGGTTCTTTAACATCCTGATTACAAAGATGACACATTCCTGGCGCTGGGGCTAATGGAGGACAGCACGGTTATCTTATGGGCTCAGTTTTAGCAGAGGCGGGCAGACTAATTGCGTAAACGCAGCCGCTGTAACGGTATGGCAGTACGGTCACGATACACGTAGGTGCTCTTTTCACTACAGGGGGGGCAAAAAAAGACTTTTCTTCTTATCCTTGACTTTCAAGGCGTTGTAAAGTTACAATTTATTGAATTCTTATCGGATAATTTTCACCACCACATTAAAGAGCATATCAAATATTATTATGATACTCCGCCACAGCCTTCTGGAGGAGGCCATCGAGAGATTCTGCCACGCGACCGTGAGTGGGTGCCTGAGATCAGCGAGATAGTCGATCTTGCCGCCGCCGTTAGACTGGCCCTAATTGAACTCCGCCCAAACCAGGTAATTGAGGGGGTTTGGGTCAAATGACCTGTTTGGATATTCCACCTTCCTCAGGTACTCGACGCCCCTCCATTCCAACGTAGGCAAGAAGTTTTCGCCAACGCCTGTTGATTCGCATCGTGGTGTCACGCTAAATCCTGTAGCAGTACAAAGTTTCCAAGAAGGTACGGGCGACGACATGTGGGGAGGATATTCTTCTCGAGTTGCTCGATGTAACCGCCAGTGCTCACCTTCAGTCCGTTGCCCGCGAAGAAAATATTGGTCTCTCCATTCCAGGTACGTCCGGTCCCTACCATCAACTGGCGCCTTGGCGACTGGGGTGAAGATGATGTCTCGGCCCGTAGCGACGTTGACGGAGCTGCTCGATGATGGAGGTCTTCCAGATCGAGAGTACTGGTCTCCAGGTAGCTATCCATGGGTGACTTCCATTCAAGAAGTTTCGCAGCTGTTTGGAGGCGACGTGAATTCCAAAGGTCTTCTCCAGTCAGGCTGCGACTGGAGATGACTTCATATTTTGGTGTACATGAAGGTGATGGGCGAGCGCCAGCTCCTGCTTATAGAGGAACATCTTGGGTATCTTCCGCCCTGGTACTCGTATCCACGTTCCTCTGTCTGGGCTGCGAAAACTTTGCTGATATGTGACTTTCGGTCAAAGTATGAAAGATGTCTTTTTTTTTTGGATCGCCCCCCCTGTATATTACCATCGCCTTTGCGCGCTCAGTGTCTCTTGACCGTATGATCATACTACACTCAAAATTCTTGAAAGCGGTAGGCGTGCCCGCGTGCTTGAATTGAACGTGGCGGCGGCCAAGATTTTCATGAGATATTCTTATTTTGAGATAATTATGTCTTTGTCCAATACGGAACAAGCCTTCAATCAGGGAGGGAGTAAGTGGGACTCGTAAAGCTTCTCTGATTCGCAGCTCCCCGATCCTGGTCTTCCAGAAGTAGGGAGAGAGAAATGCGAAAAAAAGTGCAGGATGTCGTTTACAAGTAAGCGCCGATATCAGGTTTTTTGGTTGCTACCGAAGCATGAGGGACGTAAAAGGAAGTGGTCAGAAGGTACAAGAACTAGAGAATAAGCTAAGTCTGACACTAAAAGTCCGCTGTCCGCACAAAAGCTAAAGTTAAGTACAATTCATGTAACAATGACACCGTAAACGCCAAAGCTCGGACGACCAGTTTGATTGTAACTACGGCAAGTGGACATACGTATAACATCGAATTTCACACCGGTACGACCACGAGGAATGCGCGCAAAAATGCTTGCATATACTGCAGTGTTCCAGGATGGACGGGAATTTCGTGCACATTTCACTTATGAATTCTTTCGTATCGACATAGAGCTTCTGAATGTATTGGAATATGCGGAGCGAAGAGGCAGAATAATTACATGAATATAAAGAGCCGAATTACTTTTATAGACCAGGAAAATTCTTTTACAAGTGCTTCCTCAACTTATTCCATGAAATTTCACTGCTAGGTAGTGACTGCAAAAGCGAAAAACGCCTGTATCACAACGAGACGTAAAAAGTAGTGGATTGATCACTGACGTGAAATTTTCGTAGACGTGCTGTCATTTTGGCCGCCAGCCTCCTTGGTGGCAGCTAAAGTTCGGGTACTGTCAGTTCTGGTGCAACTATAGTTCGGACTCAGTTCGCTACAGAATGGTTGCTAGATTGGATAGGTAATCCTGGGTCTCAAGTATAAACACGACTTGGTTATAGTGCTGAACAAGAAACTTCGGGTCTAGGATCGCGACTGGCAGTACCCAAATACACTTGCAGACAACGTTTTTGATAGCGAGCCCGTCATGTCTTGGCGGCGTTAAGGGGAACTGTGCCCATGCACTCTCGTCTCAACTTCCTCTCTACTTTCCAACATAATTGTTTCGGTTCTAAAGCATCAGAGGATGATTTCACGATTTGTCAACTAGGTTTTTGGGAGGAAAATTATTCCCAGTTCAGTCGTACTTGTGAACGCGACCACTAAGCATGGAAGTACAGTCGTCATCCTTGCACTTGATAGGGGCGTGTCGGCGAGAAGGAGCGTGCACACTGTTTGAAGCCTTCTCAGCCTTTTCGTTGAAACGCGTATGCGACAAAAAGTGATAGAAAACGAGTAACGAAGATATAATACAGTAATGTCACTTCCTGGTTCAACGATTGGTGCAGTACGGGTGCGGGCGACCGCGCCGCACGCAGCCGCACTGACATTGACTATCAAGTGCAAGGATGACGACTGTAGCATCCTATTCTGCTTTTCGAGGCGATGAGTCCAATATATCGACCGTAGTACCACCCAATTTATTGTTTACTATAGCGGACTTGGAAAGCCGTCTCGAGCCCACATTGTTAAGCATCAAGCGTGCAGCACTGCCAAAGTGCTTGAAGCTAGCTCATTCTATTCCACTATTGTTTCCTTCTTCTCTTTTTTTATTTCTCTAGTTGAATGATAGTTCAGATTTTAAGACATATTTGTGTTGTGTTAACTGTTGATTGTTTCTTCTAAAGATCCATCGTTCAATGTGTGCATTCCAATGAGTAATAAATAATGATAAAAAATAAGCAGGGTAATAGAATGGATCTCATCAATCGAAGTCCTCAACACGACATCCAAGAACCCACATCCGTTGCTTCTTCAGGGAACTCATATCGGGCTTAGCAGTTCAGCGTTATTGGTTTCAACGCGTTGGTGCTGATGTTTTCAATCGAAGCGCCTACATAAACAATTATCACATTTAAATCGGGCGCCGCTTGGGTTCCGGTAGCCGGGTGTCGGTAATTCTGAAATGGGCGTGTTCGTAGGTCTAACAATATTCTTGACGCGAGAAATATTTCTTTTTGTCGCGTCATCTTCAAGCATTGTGCGAAGTGCAACCATGCTATCTGTGGAGTATATGGAGGGAGTTTTAGCCCTTCTGGATGAATTCAAAGTGCGGCGTCAGTCATCTTTTATTTTTAATGATATTGCTAGAACTAGGAGCAACTGCTTCGTCACCGTTGTACATACCTATACGCCATCGTTTTCCTTTTGAAGCTCCACTAAAAGCACTGCAAATTCTTTTTTCTATGCAAATTTGTTTTTTGTTTCTGTGGGCACCTTCACTTTAAATGTTTGCAGATGACCCTGAAGATCCATAAACCATGGTGCTGTCCCGTCGTCATTCTGAGGCTGTCCGTGCATTGCTACAGAATGCAGTAGAAGTTATAGCGCGTTGATTCTGCTCAAAAATACTTGCTCTATCCGCTGGCAGGACGAAAATGAAGGGGAATTCAATCTTCACAATTACAGTTTTATAATTCAGTGCAGCGTTTGGGGTTTCCTTGTAAACATTTAGGTAGGCCCTTGGATCTTGTCACTCAGATTTTGGAGATGACGCGAACCATCTTGTAGGAGCAGAGAGTTTTCTGTTGTTTGAGCCACTCATTTTTAGAAATCCATTAGCGTAGAAATACAATTACTCATGCGCTCAACATAGTTTATTCATAATAAATTACTAAATTAAAGACTGTTCGAGATATTAGTATCCAGCAGGTTCAACGGGTGGTGCTTCGCTGCCAAAATATCCTTGATCGACAGGCACTGGTGTTTCTTCCCCAATGTCTCCGTATCCTGGAGTAGGAGGAGCTCCATAGGAATCATCGCCACCTGGGATTAGTCGCTGGCGTAATCTGCTCGCTCCCCATATATCATTACCTCTTTCTTGTGGCGCGCCATATCGATCCATCACCCAGGGAGAGAATTGGATCCTTCTGAGCCACCAGGTCCTGAATAAGGTGGTGGAGTTATGAGTTCATCTCCATATTGATTAGCCCTCTTCTTTCTATATCCGCCAGGTGCAACAGGAGGTGATTCGCTAGCATATCCTTGATCGACAGGTGCTGGTGTTTCCTCTGCGTATGAATCACCACCTGGAACTGGAGGGCCTCCATAGGGTGGAGGAGTGACATTCTCATCGCCGTATTCGTTGGCCCTCTTCTTTCTGTATCCGCCAGGAACAACTGGAGGTGATTCACTGGCACCGTAACCTTGGTCAATAGGTGCTGGTGTTTCCTCTGCGTATGAATCACCACCTGGAACTGGAGGGCCTTCATAGGGTGGGGGAGTGACATTCTCATCGCCGTATTCGTTGGCTCTCTTCTTCCTGTATCCGCCAGGAACAACAGGAGGTGATTCACTAGGCACCGTAACCTTGGTCAATAGGTGCTGGTGTTGTCCTCTGCGTATGAATCACCACCTGGAACTGGAGGGCCTCCATAGGGTGGGGGAGTGACATTCTCATCTCCGTATTCATTAGCTCTCTTCTTCCTGTATCCAGCTGGTTCTACGTTAGGGCCGTCGTCACTCCCATACCCTTGACTTGCAGGTTCTGGTGTTTGCTCTTCCTGAGGAGCATAGCCTCCATCCGAAGGTGATGGAGTTACTACCTCATCTCCATATTCGTTTGTTCGTTTCACTCTTCTGTATCCAGAAGGCACAACTTTGATATTGCCCGCATAACCACCTTGTGAGATTTTGTCAATTTTTTCCTCTCCTCCGCCATAAGTTCGAACTTTACTTTTACCTTTAGGAACGTATGGCTCATCCACGTAGTTCCATTCGGTAACACAGGTTCGTCTACATATGTACCAGTGGTTGATTCACCGGTAGAGGAAGATTCAGTTGTTTCCGAAGCAGTAGTTTCTTCTACAGTTGTTTCCGCAATAGTTGTCTCGGCTACAGTGGTCTCCTCAATTGTTGTTTCAGCCACAGTAGTTTCTTCTACTGTTGTTTCAGCCACGGTAGTTTCTTCAACTGTTGTTTCTGCAACAGTAGTTTCTGCAACTGTTGTTTCGGCTACAGTAGTCTCCGGAGCTTCTGTCACAGTTACAGTTATTTCTTCTACGACTGTTTCGGCAACAGTGATGTCAAAAATTGTTGTTCCCACGACTGATACTCCAACTGTCGTGTCTTCAACAGTGGTTTCGGCAACAGTAGTTTCAGCGGCAGTGGTCTCCATACCAGCAGTAGTTGCTTCTCCGATTTCTTCCGTCACACCCTTCGGCCTGTCTCTTGTCGCGTACTGGAAAATTTTCTTATTAGAATCGGTCAACCAGTTTCGTAATATGTTCTTTGTAATTGAGAGAAGTCTAAGAAAGAACGGCTTATGAGGCACATCATAAATAAACGATCCAATTCCCTGCCATATACTTTTTATTTTATTTTTATTTATTTATTTGTGGACGCAGTGAAACTGGCGCTAGCATAATTGTACAATCACGGCAAAGTACAATCAATTGAGTAAGACAAATCCCATAAATGTGAGAACTTAGGAGACCTCTGAATTAACTAGCCTGGTGGCCCTTATACGAAAGGCTCCAGGTGTCATTTGGAAAATATCTGGGCCAAAAATTTTGTTCAATAAGTGAAGCACCCTGATCACAAAGAATTTAGACCTGACTTGCGTTCTTTTAACTTCAGAATGATGTGGGCACGTGGTTTAAAGTTATATTGGTGAGTAACTTTTACGCTTCTGCTAATGTGTATTCTAGTTGATCGTTTCTTTTTTGTAAAGGAGCACCTTGAGTGCAATAATATAATAAAATAAAATATACACGCTCATTGCCACTGAACGTCAGTCGGGGCGCTGTCATCGGCAGCGTAACTTTGGCCGGCAGCGAACTTGCTTTCCATGGATCGCTGCGGCTCGAGCGTCCGAATGACTCGTGAGCAAGGCTGGCACCGCGTCAAAATCCATGCGCCGTTGACACGCCTCGACTAGATAGTGATAACGGCTGTGCTGAATACTGGGTTGTAGTTCAGAACATCAGAAGCGCGACGGCCCGGAAGCAGTGTTTCCCAGCTAATGGAATCAACGCGCTGTAATTCTGTTTGGCCCGCGAGCAACGCCTAGTTGATTGTGAATAAGCTGAACTAGCATTCTCTGAGATGCATACTTATTTATTTACGTTATTTATTTGTTCTAGCAAAGATGCTATCATGTAGACAAGCAGCCAGTCATAACAGAGCGCTAAGTTTAAAAATTTACACCCCATAATATAATATCGAATACAGCTTGCAAATAAAGAACCTTGAATATAAAAAGTTCTTAGACAAAAACTGGAAAAATTCAGCAAATTTGGACTAGCCTACATCGCTCGAAGCTCAAGGTCCCAAGATACTAAAGCCTGAGGTTGAAGCTGAGTAAGACTGCGTTCATACTTCGCGATGACCGACGACGACTACAGTGGCGGGCCCGTAGCGCTCGGCGAAGTGCTGTTCGGCTGGAACGGAGAAAGAGACTCGCAGCTTCGCACGCACGTACGAAGAGTATTAGGGGGATAGATGATCCCCGACGCAACCACACAGTCAGGTATGCGATCGCCAGCGTCTAAGTGTGTTCGGTAAAGTATAGAAGATGTAGGAGGTACTACATTTTGAGCTCTGCCAAAGCGATGGTTCGAGCAACTAGGCCGGGCCATTCTTGATGAACGCGTGCTTTCGCTCCCACCCTTTCTCAAAATTCAGCTACGATTTTAATATTGCTCGGTTTTCCAGCCAAGGTTACAGTCAGAACGTTCACTTGCCCGCTTTTTCTATATTCAGTCAGGAAGTAGAACAAGTAAAAAACGATTGAGCGACAGCTTTTTCCTGTCTTTTCAGGTGTATTGGTGGGCAAAATTAGAGTCTTTCATTCATGCTCGCAAATTCTCTTCAAACTAGCTTACTCTTTTCCCTCACTTCCCGAAAATCACCTCAATGAGTTTTGGGGTAGATAGACTTGGAGCATGGCCCTGAAATGGCTCGATGTCCTAAGCCTAGGTTGGCGTCCGTTTAGCGAGTCAACTTCTGGCGCCTGCAGTACAGGCACAGTCAGTAAACTCTGCCTGTGGCAGCAGCACGTGCACGCGTGGGGGGAGGGCAAGGGACCAGGTCTCTCTCTGATACGATATTACAAGATGCCGCGTTACGGCTAAGCCGTTTGGACTCCAGAAATTTCGTCTTCGAGCTCATTTTCAAATTGCCTAAGTCACCAAATCCACTAAAAACTTGTATATAGGGGTAATTCAACATCCTGATTACGAGTATGACACTCATTCTTGGCGCTGGCGCCAGAGGACACTACGATTACCTCCTGGGCTCAGCCTTAGCAGAGCGCAGGTAATCGTAGTGTCATCCATTAGCGCCAGCGCCAAAAATGAATGTCATATTCGTGATCAGGATGTTGAATTACCCCTATATACAAGTTTTTAGTGGATTTGGTGACTTAGGCAATTTGAAAATGAGCTCGAAGACGAAATTTCTGGAGTCCAAACGGCATTAGCCCCGAGTTTTAGGGGCAGAAGTCTTTACCTCAGGGGGTGAATTCACATCTCACCCTTACTGGGCGAACGCGCTATCCACTACGCCAACAGGACCACTCTTACTTTATATGGAGACGATACCAGTGTTCAAGGGGTCCAACTACCCCCGGCGAAAAATGCCTTGCCCGATCGACCTTCATGAAGGATCTTTGAAAGAAATCGAGCTCAAATTTTGAGAAGTGAGGCTGTAAATAGATGAATAAATAGATGTTTAGAAGACTTCAGAAAAACTACCAAGTCAACACAGGATTTTCAAGAATTTTAATTAAAACTAAAAAACTTACAATAAAGGGACTGTGCTGAAAGCACACATAGAGCCAGTAATGTCCACTGTAAATAACGCATAGTGGCCGGCCGCTCGAAACGCAATAAATCTTAGGGCCGCTCGACTTAATCGGACAAAGGACTTTTATATGCGGCTATCACTAATCGCTGTTGAACTGCGGACTTGCGGAACTGGTATATCGAGCATATCTAAGACAATACAACACAAGCAACGTGTCTACTGGTTTTCTTGGCGTAGACCCTGAAATGGTCAGCTGATTCGCCAAGGAACTACTATACATTGATGACTGATTGCATCTATAATTGCGCCGCTATGGTCGTGATAGTGTGACCTCACTCGTTATGCGATCGTAATCCTGGGGTCCCCTCGAATCCGCAGCTTTGATGTTAGTGTTAGCGTACCACGATTTTTTTATTTCTCTATTCGGGACCTCATCGCTCTCAAGTACAGCTAGGAAACTAAGTGAAACTCCTAGACAACATTGATCCAGGTGGAAGCACAAAAAAATTTTAAACAAAGTTCAGGCCTCCGGAAATGGTTTCCACAAAAAAGCAATGGGTGCTGGTCTAAGCAGGGCACAGCATCTCCAAAAGGATCCCATCAAGGAGTTGTCCTTGGTCGTTTCAGAGGAGGGGGAGGGGAGGGGGTTGGTCACGATTGAACCCTGCTAGTTTGGAAGCGTAGTCAAAGTCCCATACAACTACTATTTTCGTCAGTTTACATTACTAGTTGTTTGGGATCCCTCTCCACTCGACGGTGGGAGGTGGGGAGGGACTAGAAGGAGTTCAAAAGGTGCTAGGTAGGATGAGGGTCGTGCCGGAGGAAGGATTATTCGTGGGGAGCTCGTCTGACACAACCTTATCTCAAATCCCGAAACTGTACCCTGAATCGAGTACAGGTTTTTTTATTCCTGCTCCCATGTTAAATATTTTTGTGTTGCAGTGTTGAAATACGGTAACAGTATTTCCGTACAAGTTTTTCAGAGTTACGGAGTGGTGTGATCTTGAGCTCCATCTCTCTCCCTTTGAATTCTTTTATTGCATTTTATTTATTCGACAACAGTTGGCTAAGTGAAGAACATTGTTTCAAAAAAGACACCAGCGTAATTCGGGGAGGGGATTCAGAATGCGCGGATCCACTGCTCTGAAAAGTGCCACTTTGATCACTCGAAAGTGCTCCGAAATGAGGCTGGAGGGCACCGACAGTCATTTACCGTTTCCGACTCTACCAAGGGCAAGCGACGTGCCGCACAACCAGGTATATGCCTACTAGCGCTAATCGCGCTACTGCTCTGCGCCCGCCTCCGCGCCGCGTTTGGTTGTTGTGTACAGGGTACAGCATGGGGATGTGCGAAATGGCGGTGTGAGTACGACCCCCCCCCCCTCGAAGAGGGTCCAGATACGACCCCCTCCTGCTCTAACTGAAAACCAGATGCAGATGCATGTTCACCACAAATGGCTTCCTGAAATGGAATCTGGATTTTCGAAAGGCGGACTCTGCTCTTAAATCCAGGCAATAAGAAGCTGTTTCAGCCTCATGCAATATGAGGCTGAACAACAGCCTCGCATTACCTACAATTTTGTCTTAGGATTCAGAATAAAACTCGTTCGTTCGACATCCATGTATGACATGCAACTTGTAAGAA